TATTGTTTGCTCTTTTTTCGATGGAAAAGAAAAACATGTTTTTTTTCTTTTCTGGATGCTATAAAATGAGGACACTGGTTGTTAAATCTCTAAAATATTATTACCTTAATGAGAGAATTTATTTGAGCCTTATAACAGAGATGAAATCGGTTCAGTTTCAAGAAAATGCGAACCAATGCGATAAAAACAGATTATATAATACAATTAGCTGATATGTTACTGAAGAGTGATACTTATATGAGATTTAGATATTTGTGGGATTTATCATTTTTGTCCACAGTTTTGATCACTGATCAGGAACAAAACTTATAAAGATAACTGCGTTTTTACGTTTTCTCAAAAAAAGCTTTTGTTGCTTGATCGCACGTGCCGAGTCTGAAAACGATTTTGATGGGTTAAAAAACACTTTTTTCTGATTGGGTAGTCTCAGTTACGGTTAAAAAGAACATTCGTTCTGGTCAAAAAAGTGGTCCTAGGCTCAGTAGAATTAGTTCATATTGCTTTTGTCTTATGAGGTTGAAACAATAGAATTCACAATAATTTCTTTCAGAAGCTTTATTCAAGTCTGTTATTAATCAATGATGAATACTGCACATTCACACAATTCTTCTAGAGTCAGAATAATTTAAGTAAATTTTCAATCGTATTTCACATTTTTAGGGTTAAAAACTTCATAGATATGCGAATAAATTGAATTCAGTTTTTTACCAACAACATTCTTTTGTTATTCTTAAGAGAAATTCAACGTATCCAACTGTCATGCAATGTAGTTGTCCACATTTTTTTAAATCAGCTATTATGACATTCAATATCTACATTGTTTAACGTTGAGATCGTTGTTTCGTTAAAAATGATTCCAATGTCGATTGTTGTTGTCGAGTATTGCTCAATCTTAATGCAAAAAATCTTGTCCAATGAAAAGATTAATTTAATTGTAACGTACTGAAGATGAAATACTTTCGAAATTTTTTAAAAGTTCAATTAACAAAAACATATTAAAATGTTAATAAAAAATATTGACATGATTAAAAAAAAGCGTTTTATCTTTCTTAATTTCATGCTAATTTACATTTTTTTGCTTTTTATTTAGTTCAAGTTGTAACTAATGGAATAAGTAAGATTTCTATTTAGCTAAAATTTTATTTTTTATTTCTTATAATCATCATTCTGTTTTCTTCAGTTGTTACTATTAATACGACAAATCGAACTCTCAATGGTGGATACATTACACCAAATAATACAGTTTTTAATCTCGATGATTCAAGTACAGTAAATGGTTATGTTCGAACTGTGTCTGTTCAATATGTTCAATCCAGATTACCAACTGCATCGACTCGTATTTGGATTTATGGCATTATTCCAATTCTTGGTGGTTATATGGCTTGTAGTCAATATTTGGTTCCTTCTGCTCAAATATCAACAACACAATTAGGGCAAACCTATAATATCACTGCAAATATAATCAATGTTTTTCCAGGAACATATGTTGGAGTCGGTATTCAAGATAGATTAACATCTATTGCTACAACATCTGGCAGTATTGCATTCAGTATCGGAACTGTTAATTTAACATCAAATATTTTCACACGTAGACCATTATATTTTCGACCTGATAATTTAGGATTTGGTGTCAAAGTGAGCTACACTATAATGACATAGATTCTTCTATGATATCGGTGAACTATTAAACTCAAAATTATTTTATTACTGCTTTTTTTCAAAAACTGCATAGAGCCCTGATTTATTATATTCATTTATTAAAAACACATTTTATTAAATAAAATACTCTTCGAATACAAAGATATAATTTCATTTTGTTTGGTCGATTCATACGATACTGGTCGATATAGTCCCACTCATAGCGGAATACACATCAATTCCTTTTTTTAACAAGAACCAAAACCGATTTATCTCACTAATGTCTAGATGTAATATTTAGAAGTCATGCGGAACAGGTTTATGTTTTTTTGCCCATAAATAATGCTCGAATCGAAATTTTTCCGACAAAATGTTAGCTAAATTTTGGCCCGCTTGAAAGTATGTCAGACGAGACAAAATCTATGGATTAGAATTAGAATTCTGTGCTCTTTCTAAATATGAACGTAGAAATTTTGTGTCAGTTTTTATTCAAGAGCAGTGAAGAAATCTTTGAAAAGTCTTGAAAACTAATCCCACTCTGAAAAGATGTGAGAGACTGTGTGAGGATTTGATTGTGGCTGAGTGTGGGTGTGGGTGTGAATTTTCATCTTCTTCCACTCACATCCCATACTCATGCTTCAGAGTTTGAAAATCAATTATAATTGGGTAAATTGATTTGTTCTTGCGTAAAAATTACTATTCATTGTTTTTTTTTAATTTTATTTAATATATTCTATGACTTCGAATTATTTACATTTCACAAAATAATTGTTAGCCAGTGGTATTCATCTCTTTTTCTTTTCTTCATTTCAATTAACTGCTGTTTCATCATGCAAGATTTGCAGATTAATCAGCAAAATAAATAACATAATAATATAGGGCACTTTACTTTTTATTTTGAATACAAGTATCGTTCTGAACACTCTTTTGTTTCTGTTGCTATAAAAAACTAAATGTCAAAACTATGAAAATTACATAATTTAGAGGATACATCTTAGTTTCGAGATGGTGTTCATTCTGTTAGAAGAATTCATAAAAATTAGATGAAAGGATATCATGATATAATAATGTACCCTGACAAGGTTGAGCGCTGTTTTGAGAATTGACGAACAAAAAAATGGATTAAATGCTGTAGTTTTGCTCAGAACAAATGAATATTTCCGAAAATTCGCTAGAAGGAGGTGATCACTGCAAGAGACATCAAATACAGGGTATGTCGTAGAAATATTGAAAGGAAAAATATCGAAAATTTCAACTAACACGCATTTGTTTATATTTAGGATGAAAGATGTAGATGTAGGTTCTTGTCTTCTCTTCATCGACACCCATCATAGAGACATCACTCTGCTCAATATCTTTGCAGTTTCGACACTGCTACGGCCAATCAATAATGGTAGCCACTTCTTATAGAATGGCTCAATGCGTGTGTTGATCACGCATACTCAGTCAGTAGTATAACGGATCCATTGAATTTATACTGTGCAGCAGAGACCTTATTGGGCTTACCAATCCGACCCGATACAAAACTCAATTGCAAACATGACCATAAACAGAGAAAATGAGTTTGGTTTATTCATAAAATACTTTGGAATAACATAGTGAATCATACAATGAAGAAAAATAACAGTAGTTATGTCAGTTGTAATTTTATAAAATGCACAAAAAAAATTCTTATGGACGCTTTTATAATTAACACTTCAAAAAGATATATAAAGCAAGCATAGTACATAGAAGTCCTATGAAATAATAGAAAATTAAATGGAATATTTTGAAACCAAATATAGCACATAATAAAATAAGAAAGACTAGTAATAGAAAAACTTTACGTTTATTTAAAAATGAATATGTTAATGGTGATGATCGTATAAACAAACTTTCATCTTGATGTTGAGCCGAATTCGTCTGATTTGAATACATGAATGATGTTAAAATTGATGCTCCTAATTTTTTCAAACAAGTTATAGACACTTCACGTGCTACAAATTTTGGTACGACATTGATCGAATGATATAATACTTTGGAATGTGAAAATTTACTCTTTAAGATGAGTGGTTTAACATCATCAAAAAAATGATCAAATATGATTTTGATATGTTTTTCTTGTTGAATGAAAAAATTATTAAACAATTCATTTGTTCGAGTAATATCATCGTTAGTAAATGATGGATCAAATGTACATTTAACAGCATACATGATAAGATCTTCGTAAAAGTGATTTTTTATGTCACTAATAATAGCTGGATACTGTTGAAAGAAATGATCGATTTTTTTCTTCAAACTAGCAAGACTTGGATTTTGAATTGAAATATCATATTTTACATTCGAACGAGTAGGAAATGATTGTAAAAAATCATGATTATCCAAATCGGCTAACATTTCATTCAATTTGCATTCAAAATTATTCTTTAAATCTAAATCGTTTGCCATATTATAGATAATAAAATCTAAAATACAATAGTTCAACGTTTTTCAGTTTCTGTTAGCATCGAAATGAATATGACTGCTGCTGTATAGGTATACAGTAAAATCTCCCTTAGATGGGCACCTACGGGACTTTTTCAAATCGCCCACATTACGGAGGTGCCCGCGTTATAGAGTTTTTTTACAAATACCGATCATAAATATGTTTTTCGCAAGCTACGTCATAAAGAGCACCCACACTTATATATTACTAACCGATCTTTAGACCTCTGACTATGTCCAATATTTTACTGCGATCATCTTATGTCTTTTCTTGATCTAGGCTTATTTTCTATTTTCGTATTTACAATCAAGCTTTTCGAAAAAAATCCATAATCGAACTTTTATCATTGACGACACAATAAGAAATGTATAGATGAGCTATTTTCTTTGTTACGTCGGACTAACCTTTCTCTCTCTTATTCTCAGCTCAACAAAGAGTGACGAGAAGAAAAACAACAGTGTATTGATTAAAATATTCACTATATTTGCCCATATAAGAGAGGTTCAAATATACAGTATGGCCTAAAAAAAACAGTGCCCACTCTAGAGGTGGGAGGTGCCCTTGTTAGAGAGGCTCACTTCCAGCAAAAATCGATCGGTCGTTCCGCCGAGTGCCCATATAAGCTAGGTGCCCTTGTTATAGAGGTGCCCATATATAGAGACTTTACTGTATATTATCTTTTGACCTTGTTTTTAGAGTTGAAAAATTGTAAAGAAAAAAGAAATATTCGTCATGACGACAAGAATAATCTTAGAACGATTAGAGATATTTTTTCAAAATAAACATACAACTTTGAATGAAATTCTACAAGATACATAAATAACACATTGTTGGGTATTTTACTATGAAATGAAATCATAAAAATAAAGAACTGAATGTGGCAAATATATTTTTTTTACTATCAGTTCAATTCAAATCAGATAAGGTTCGTTAGACTTGAGATGCAACGATAACAGTGAAATCATCGGTACCCTATACCTACGGTATATCAATCTCGATATACTGCCGTAGAGTGGTATATTCTAGAGTTTCGCTGCTAAGATTAGCAAAGTCGATAAATGTGCTTAAGAAACTTACTATGATGACTGAGAGTAAACCATTTGACTTCTCGTAAAATTTCTAAATTTAATTCTTTCGGCTAAAAAAGACTACGTTGCAAAAATAACGATTTGTTTTTTTTTACAAAATTTGATCAAACATCTTCGGGGTAAAGATACCTTAACTGAGACGTGAAGTGCATCATTTCGAACAACCAAAGAAGTAGAAGACTTGAAAAAGCATTTTGGCAGGAAACAGATGAACTTAATTAATAAGAAGACAAACTGCACAAAAATCTACGAAAAATAGATAACTGCCTACCTTTAGCATTTTATTTAGGTTAGGGACAATAAAGAATAAATGACGATAAGGAATAACATGTCCTTTTTTTTCTCATCTAGTTGCAGTGAAAGAAAAGGCATACCTGTTTTCTAGCTGATGATTAAAAATGACTACGAAAACAAACAAAAAAACTTGAGCGAATTTTATCGTATAACACCTATGTTTGTTTTATTTTAATATATACTGACATACTCAAGAATAAGAATAATTAATTTTCGAGTCATGTTATTGTATACAGTATTTCATCATTTTAGTCATATCTGTCTCATAAAGAACATATGTTTTCATATGAGAAAGCAGATCAAAAGTTAAAGGTAGATAAAAGAACGTTGGAATACTTTAACTATCATGATAACATTCACGTGAGGTGAGGTTGATCTATTCATAGTTTTATTTTTCTTTGTTCTTACATAAAAATAAAATAAAATCCTAACACATTATATAAATAGAGAATGACAACCTATTTTGTTGTAAAATACTACTGTCATCACTAGAAATTTCATCTTAGAAATTATTTTCATATGGCTAGCATCAGATAACAAGTATAAACTCTCGCATATCTATAATCTAATTTTCTTGATCAACAAAATAAAAAGTTGTTCTCTTTCGATGTAGATTATCGGAACCACCAACAAACTTAATGAACATCATAATAATGTCAATATTATCAAACTTGTAACTAAAATTGTAAACTGGGTGATTTACAGTGTTTTATCCAGAGGGGTGCCCGGAGGGCCCCCTTCTCCCCCGAGACTCGCGATCATTGCACAACGAACTATATGGCTTGCCCTTCCGAAAAAATTTTTCACCCTCCCGGAATGTCAAATCGCCCCTCAGGAGAAAAAAACCTGGATAAAATACTGGTGATTTACGTGTCTAGTTGTACCGGGTAGCATCGGCTTTGCTGGTACGATCATCAGTGTATCAAGAGCCGCACTTGCTATACTCAACGCGCTCAATATCTCAAAATACAAGCAGAAAATATTGTCAAGTATATTTTTGGGATGATACATTCAATTGACTAATAAGCTGAAACTTTAGTTTATATTTAAAAAGTGTACTTATTTTGTCTTTTATCAATAATGATTCAAAGATTTTAAGAAAAATCCAATCAATAAAGCATGATTGAAAATTATCAATTGAATTCATTGACTTTTATATAGTAGTAATCAAAATTATAAGAACGAAATTTATTTTCGATAATCCTGAGCATTTAATAAAAATTCGAATCGTTCATAAAGTTCTCTATCGCATGTATTATTTAATAAGAGTCCATGAATAGACTATGAAAATTAGGTTTTCAAAAAGAAAGCAAACAGGGAAATCAGAAAATCATCACCTTATTCAGTACTTATTTACACCTATGAAATACAATTAAGCTTATTGAATCTTCGTTATTGAATTACGTTTCACAGCTAGCTTGAAAGAATTTATGTAATACATCATATCGAAACAAAATTATTCGTTTATTTTATTAAATAAGTAAATAATAGCGAGTTCGATTAAAATATATCTTAACACGATCAAGAATTCATAGATATTAATTCAAATAAAATTTCATTCTTTCATTGAATGATCATAAATACTGTTACGAAAACACTTTACTGTAAAAAAAAAATCGAGAACGTCGAACAACTAGCGATATTAAATATCATTTGTTATAAAGAATCTTGAATAATATACCCAATCAAAACAATATAGATCTGTCCAAAAAGGATGTCCAAGAAAAACAAAAGGAAGAGAGTGCAGTAGTTTTAACTGTGGTTAACCAAGTAGAAGCAAAATGTACAGAAGATCAACTACTTTCAATATACACATTTTGCATAGAAGCAAGAAAATTTATAGTGCTCTTAACGTCAGATCCGTTTAATCTTTCTTTTGATATTTTTTATTTATATGAATATATTGATTCATGTTTTTGAGAAAATTTGTTTCACTTTTTCTTTGTGATGAATAATGTAAGAGTGTCATAAATGAATACACCGAATTGTTATTTATAGAAACAAACTTCAGAAGTACTATGCAAAGCTAAGATCTTTAATCGAAATAGAAAAATGTAACGTATTTTCTATTTTCAGAAAAATATGATGCAAAGTTTTGTTGTCACGAAAAATCTCAATATGAAAAACAATTTACATGATTTATAGAATGAATGTTAATTTTGAGATGGATAAACATTCTATTAGAAGAATTCATATACATCAGAATAATAGATCTTCAATATATGATAATGCACACGAGATAGAATTGGTAAACTCGACAAATCTACCAGTTTACACATCAACTACAATAATCATACTGCACAGACAAGAACTTGTCGAGTTTATCAATTTGATTCGATGGAATATTCAATCATAAACATAATAATAATTGAATGTAGAATAAAACAAGTTTATTGATAAAGAATAAGAAAACTAACATAATCATGTATAAAATGCGCAAAATTTTATCGATTTCTACTATTTAGAAATCTACAACGATATATAAAGCAAATACAGTACATAGAAGTCCTAGAAAATAATAGAAAATTAAATGAAACATTTTGAAACCAAATGTAATAGATATTAAGAAAAAAAAGACTAATAATAGAAAATATTTGTATTCATGTGAACTTGCGTGTCTTAACAATGATGATCGTATGGAAAAAGTTGTATCTTGATGTTGAACTAAATTCATCTGATTTGAATACATTAATGATGTTAAAAATGATGCTCCTGACTTTTTTAAATAAGTTATAGACGCTTCACGTACTATAAATTTTGGAACTGAATCGATCAATTGATATAATGGTCTTGAATGTGAAAATTTACTTTTCAGAATAAGTGGTTTAACATCATCAAAAAAAAGATCAAAAATAATTTTGATATTTTTTTCTTGTTGAATAAAAAAATTGTTAAACAATTCATTCGTTCGTGTTATATCATTACTAGTAAATGATGGATCAAATGTACGTTTGACAGCATACATAATAAAATCTTCGAAAAAATAATTCTTTATATCATAAACAATGTCTGAATGCTGTTGAAAGAAATTGTCGATTTTAATCTTCAAATGAACAATATATGGATCTGAAATTGGAATATTGAATTGTAGATTCGAATGAATTGGAGCAGACTGTATAAAATCATGATTATCCAAATCGGCTAAAATTTTATTCAATGTATTTTCAAAATTACGATTAAAATCAGAATAATTTGTCATGTTATACAAAATCTAAAATACAAAAATTTTAACATTAGTTATATAATCTTAAATTCTGTTAGTATTAAAATGAATATGATTTGATATTTTCTCTTTTATTTTGTTTCAATAGCTAGAAAATTTGTAAAGAAAAAGAAATAATCGTAATGACGACAAGAATAATCTTAGAAGGATTTAATATTTATTTTTTAAGCAAACATAGAAATTTGAATGAAAATATACAAAAAATACATAAATGATGCATATTTTTATTATTTTATTAAGAAATGAATAAAATTAAGAACAAGTTTAGATTAAAGAACACTGATACAATTAACATATACAAATCCTGTTAAATCAAGATATGTTTAGAAAAATTTTCATGTTTTTCAATTCAATTTTATCGAAGAAGAACGAAAACTACTAACCAACAATCAACAATTTCATATGTAAAAAACACATAGTTTAACATATCTAAACTTTTTTCTGAAAAATACTCAAGTTAGTACAAATTTGTGATTTTAAACTGGATGTTCTTCAAACATTATGTATTTTTAATATGTCAAATATCAGAATGTAGCGAAAGAAAAAAAAATGAAAAATTTTTTTAAGAGTAGCAAAAGTGCATATTGAACTTTTTTGAATTTATAAAATTAATACTTTGATTCCAAGTCAAAAGACTGGAATCAGAATTGATACATTCTTATCCTTGGTATCTTCATCTACCAATATTACATCTTTGGTTATAAATGCAATCTTTACCTATGAAAATATTGACTTTTTTGGTTGACTATTGTATTTTTAGATCAGTTTTTGAAAAAAATCAAGAAATAGAATTCCTAATAGATACGAGCACCTTGAACTCAGTACATTTACTAAGAAGAGTTGAAAAAGCATTCTTATAGGGAGCGGACGAATTTGACTAACCAAGAGATAAATGGTACAAAAATTTCAAGAAAAACACAGGATGGTTCAAAAGTCACTTTGTCGAGCAACAGTTGAATATCTGTGTTATTGCTCGACCGAACAAGCAGAGTTTTTCCTTGAAAATAAAGAGAGGACCATATAGAACCTTTTTTTAAGCATCATTATTAACTTCAAGAAAAGAAACTTTACTTTTTCATAAGAAGAAAGAATGTAAAATGGAGAAGAGTCGATTTAGCAAAATAAAATGTAAATAATCAAATCAATTTTTGAAAATTACACGTCGTTCGTTCACATATCTTTCCTTTTATTATTTTTCTCCTTTGACTCGACTATGGTCCACATGGACAATCCGAACGATATAAATCGCTTTTCTTCCTGCGTTATGGGTCATATACGTATAAACATTTCTATTTACGTTTATTTTGTATTTTTTCGATCAGCCTTGTACTCGTCTGGTCTTCTTATTCTAATCTATTTCGGCATCTGCAAACACATAGGCTCTCAACCAGAGTTACACGCCGAATAAATGATAGAAAATGAAGAACATACTAGAACAAGACTTACAGAGAAAACATAAAACAAACGTAAACAGAGATGTTATACGAATATGACCCCGCAACATAGGAAGAAAAGTGATTTATATCTTACGGACTATCCATGTGAACCATAGTAGAATCAAAGAAGAAAAATAATAAAAGGAAAGATATGTGAAACGAACGATGTGTAATAGTCGAATGCTTAGTTGATTATTTACAATTTATTGTAATAAATCGTCTCTTCTTCATCATACATTCTTTCTTACTGTGAAAAAGTAAATTTTTTTCTTAAAGTTAACAGTGATACTTAAAAACGATTCCCTTTAATTCTGTTTTTTATGTATATGGAGTGTAAAGTCATAACAGAAATGTTCAATTTTTTCTTAGTAAAGTGAATTTTGAGCCACTCTGTAATTAGCTGTTCACAGAACAAAGAATTCAGGAGTCAGATTCCTTTCAGAAGGTGAAAGAAGTTTTCGGATATACCTAGAGCCCAAAGGAAACTCATCCATGTCGTTCGGATTGCTAAAAAAAAAGTCGTCGATTCACTTCGGTTAACTATCATTAACCGACAGTTCTTTATCGAAATATTTACTTGTTTTATGAATACATAATTAAATTTCGTTGATTTATTCTTACATTTGGATCGATTTGCAGCCCAAATCTAAATCTGAAAAACAATTCTTTTTTTTATAAATCTCATCCTTAAAGGACGAGAGGGGGTAGATAAGGACCGCTTTTAAAATATCCATTGTTTTCCTCCATTCATGATCTACTTAATGTAGAATTTCATGAAGAATTATTTGATAACAAACAAATAAAAACAATTTGTCAAGAATTCAGACCCTTTTTGTCTGAAATTATTGATATGCCCGTTTGTACCAAAAATGCATGATTCATACATCGGAGAATTGTTTGTAGAAATTTTCCCATACTAAAACATTCTTAACTAAAAACGATGTCAATCGACTGCACATTTTAGAGTCTAACGTAGAATTAGAAAAATTGAAGTGTTGCTAAGTAATGCTGTAAATATTGTTTCAAGTCAGCATGAAAATCATATGGTTAAATTACCGTCTCTGTTCATTTCTGCACGTTGTTTTTTAATATCTCAAGAAAGAAAACAAACAACATCGGTTCTCGACTGATTTTGAAAACTTGAAAAAATACGCTTTGAATTTGGTTAGGACAACATTTTCATGCAGATTTTAATTGGAAAAAGTAGATCCTGAATGAAAATGAATAACATATTTAAAATTACCATAAAGAACTGAGTGTACTTATATGTATTTGAAAAGTTTTCGATGAATTTTTGTTTTTTTCGAAAAATTAAGCTTCCCCCTCCCCCCATCAAATTCCAGTCAAAAAAAACTGAATTTAATTTAAATACCATTTTTATTATTTAGTTATTTGTTCTTTGGCGTCGCAGTGACATTTTTCAGATTCAGACCATGTTTTACACTCTCTGAAAGGAATCGTCAAGCTCAATTTTTCGAAAATGAAAAAAATTCATCGAAAAACTTTGAAATACATATAAGTCGACTCAGATTTTTTATGCTGATTTCAAATATGTTATTCATTTTCATTAATGGCCTACTTTTTCCAATTGAAATCTACTAACAATTAGTGATAAAAATGCATAAAATGTTGTCTAAACGAAACTCAAGTCGTCTTTTTTAAAGAATTTTCAGAATTAGTTGAGAACCGATGTTGTTTGTTTTTCTTTCTTGAGATATTAAAGAGATAATGTGCAGAAGTGAATAGGATTGATACTAAACCATATCATTTTCATGCTCATTTGAAACAAGACTTACGGTATCACTCAGCAACCCTTCAATCGTTCTAACTAAATTTCTAAAAATCACTCTTCGATGTATGAATCATACATTTTTGATACAAACAGTTGTATCAATAATTTCAAACAAAAAGTATCTAAATTCTTGAGAAATTGCTTTATTGTGTTGTCAAACAATTCTTCATGAAATTCTACACTAGGTAAACCATGAATGAAGGACAACTAAGGATGGTCCAAATACGGTTCTTATCCACTGACATATTTTGGATCACTTGGTAGACCGAATCTAATTAAAGAGAAAAGTTCATTTAACTGTTAGACTAAACTAGCTAGATAATAAAAAAATAGTTCCGATCTCTATTTTATGCACTAAATATCAATATATGTTAACCACAGAAGACAAACAAATCTTTTGGTATTAAGAATGCTCTTGCGATTAATAGTTTTTTTTCAGATCAGTCGGTTACTCTCTGCTTTCTTTAAAAAAGATGACATAGACACGGGCGAATGTTGAATTTACATTGAGACATTACACAATGTTTGATCCCTTCCCCTATCACCACCTTTCCTTCTATGCCTATTTCTCGTAGAATTAACTGAAAATTAGTAGTTTGAATGTACATTATTTTAACTTATTATTACATTCATTTATTAAATATTAAATTTAAGACAAGGAAAAATAAATAATTTTTTTAAGGTGCGCATACTACAAAGTGTAAGTGAGTCCCTTTTTTTGTTTATTTATATATGATTTGATAGAGTTTCAAAAAATTCGAATAACTAAATTTTTGAAAACATTATATTCAGACTCAGTATTAAACACTAAGAAGAAAATGATTATTTGAATGGTTTTTAATGTATTAGAGTTATTTTTGAGTTTTGTTTTGCTGTTGAGAAAATTGAATTATTTCCTTCTTCGGTGGCAAACTTAGATAAAAAAGAAAAAGTGAAAAATACATTCGTATGTATCCATTTTAGTCACTATAATTCACCTGTAATGCTAAAGGAACAGTATATTCAGAATTAGTGTCAAAAATTGCATCGAATCATATATGTTTCAGTAAAAGTTGTTTCCAATGGAAAAAGAAAACGCCTTGGGTCCTTTTCAAGTGTGTTTTTTATAAAATTTCACCCATACTCTTCCAGGGATTGGATTCTCGTCAGAAAAAAAAATTCTAAACTATCTATGATTCGATACAGTGTATGACGTTAATTTCGAATATGCTATTCATTTAACATCAGAAGAGAGTTATAACAAACCTGAGAATAATTATCATCGAATTTCGAATGATGGTGTTGAATGCAGTACTTCATCATTTTAGTTGTATTTATCTCATATAGAATAAAAGTTTCAATATGAGAAACTCAATGAAAAGTCGAAGATAGATAAAAGGGAATATCAAAATGATATAAATACCAATATAGCATTCATCTACATTGAATTTGTTTTTCTTTTTCACCAATTCTCATTAATCTACTTTCTTATATATAAATAGAGAATAAAGAATTATTTTGTTATAAAACACTACTCTCATTAATTAAGATTTCATTATAAAATATATATATATATATTCTTAAATGGCTGACATTCAACAACAATTACAAAATCTTGAAAATTTACTAGCCGATTTTCTTGATAAACGAGAACAAGCAATATCATCAATTATTGAAATTGCCAATAAAATCGATGAAAATCATAAAAATGTCAATATTACCAAAGTTGTAACTAGTAGCAGTGGTATTGCTGGTACAGTTCTTGGTATAGCAGGACTTGCACTTGCTATACCAACTGGTGGTATATCAACATTACTTACTATTGGTGGTATTGGTTTAGCAGTAACAAGTGGTGCAGCTCATTTAGGTTCTGATATTACTGAACATTTTTTGACGGAATCAAATTTAAAAAAATTAGATGAAATTTGTCAAGCTGATGAAACAAATATTTTTCGATTAGCTGATTATCTTGAAATAATGGTACATGATATTAAAAAAAATAATTCTTCTTTCGATAATAAAATTGATTTAAGAATAGCAAGTAGTATTATTCAAGGAGTATCAAGTTTAACTAATCTAACATGTTCAATTATTCGTATTACACGAGCAACATGTTTATCAATTAGAACAGTACCATTTACTAGTGTTGCTTCATTACGACTTGCTGGTGCTACTTCAGTTGTCTTAGGTATAGAAAAAACAAAAAAATGAAAATAATGTAATTGACATAACAAATATTCATCTTTTAGGTGCCGTTACTTTACCATTTCAAATAATTGATCTTGCATTAAGTGGACAAGCATTACATGAAAAAGAATCTTCTGATATCTCAATTAAACTTCGTCAACTCGCTCAACATCTTAAAATACAAGCAGAAAATATTGTTAAGTACATTTTTGAAATGATACATTCAATTGATTAACAAGGTGAAATTTTGATTTATATCTTTAAAAAACAAAAAAAACATGTAACTATTTTTTCTTTTATTAATAAAATGTATATTGTTATAAATTAATCTTTTTTTAATTTTTCTAATTCATTAGATATCAATGACTCAACATATAAAAACTAGAACTTTATTTATTTTTATTAAATGTATAATGTTTCATATCTATTTAAAAAAATATCTTCACTTTTAGTCGATTTTTTTTGTTTATTTATTTAAAAACTGATTCATTTGTGTTCAATACCACATCATGAATAAAACTTTTCCTTTTATCTAATATATCGTTATTTTTGAATAAGTTATATATATATATACGAATCAATTTTATAGACATTTTAGCGTTTTATTTAAAATTTTCAAGAAAAAATAATTGAAAATTATCAATTGAATTTATTGACTATTATATAGTAGTCATCAAAATTATAAGACCAAAGTTTTTTCTTTGATGATGTCGAGCATCTAGTATAAATTTAAATAATCAATATAGTTCTTTATCGCATATATTTATACAAGGAGATTCTATGAATGAACTATGGAAATATGATTTCTAAAAAGAAAGCAAATGAAATTACTAGACCGGAGAACAAAATGAGAGATCGCCATGTGTTTTTCAAGATTTTCTATTAAAAATGTACGAACACGAAAAATAATTAAATTTATCAAAAAATCGATAATTTCATTTGTGAGAATATTTGTAACATTTGAACGGAAGATCGAAGAAAACGTCATGATCTATCACTTTGTGTAAAATATAGTATTTTTTCAGATGATATTCTTAAAAAATTGATTTCATTTTCTATAATAAATCATTAAATGTTGAAAGAACTATTTTGATTTGAATTAGATAAGGATAAAATCTTACTCCTATAATTTCGAACAGTAGAATCGATTTAGAAAATTATTACTTTATTCAATACTTATTTACACATATTAAATAAAATAAAGATGATTGAATCTTTTTATTAGATTAAATTTCACAATCACCTTGAAAGAATATATCTATTGCATCTTTATTTTGTTTTTCTTAATTGACTAATTAGTAAAACATGTTTTTTTTTCTGAACACAATCAAGAATTAATAGATCTTAATTTCAATAAATTCTTATACTTTCATCGTACGACTATATATAATGTTAAAGAAATATGATTTTCTGTAAAAGTTCTAGAAATTCGAACAACGAGCGACATCAAAAATAATTGGTTATGAAGAGTGTCGAATAATATGCTCAATCGACACAGTATTTCACAATGATGATAGTTTTCTTTAAAAGTTCATTTGATTGGATTAACATTTCAGAAAAGTATGACCTATTTTTATTAACATTCTTTCTTTTTAGTATAAAATGAATGAAGAAAATACTGATTCAAATTCTTCAACAACAATTGATGATAATGAAATTCCTGAAAAATTTAAATTAGATCGAAATAAAATTCAAACAGCAACATTAATTGATGAAAATGATGAAATTAATCAACTTGGTTTAAGTGTTTTTAATCAAGCAGATCTTGAACAAGGTCTTTTTTTTTCTCCTCTATCATATATATATATTTTTTTATTTTTCTTGAATAGGTTTAATTGATCAAGTTGATAATGTTGTATCAAATCAAGAACGACATCATAAATCAGTTCATATTGAAAAACAAATTCAATCACTTGAACAAACAAATAATTCTCTTCGAAGTAGTATATCATCAAAACAACAAATATTATCTACTATTGATAAAGCAACATATCTTGCATCAAGAAAAGATATTCAAAAAGCGAATATTGAAAAAACAATCAAAGAATTGGTTTGTTTCTATCAACCAAAAAAAAAAAAGAAAAGATAAATTCATAAATATCAATACTTTTAGAAACAACAATTAACAAAAAATATTGCTAAAATAAAATCACTTAAAATTGAACTTATTGGTTTTTCACCAATTGATAATGAAAATGAAAATAATCAAATCAAACGTATGTATAAAAATTAAAATTTAATAAGATAAATTTCTTCTTTTTTTTTCTAAATCAAGAATCAACAACATCAACTAGTCTTATTGATACATTAATGCCAACACAACATAATTATGATGAAAATGGTCTTCTTAAATCAACAATAGATCAAAATGAACGTTTAACATCATTTGATTCATTTATGCAAAGTCTTGATCATGAATATGATAAACGTAAACAATTAAAAAATAAAATTATTGAAAAAAAACCAAGTGAAGTTCAAAAAACTACTACAACTGATAGTTCTGCATTTCCATCAACTCCTTTAACACTTGATGGTCCAATTGAATATCGAGATAAAAAAGTCAAGAAAAAACCATCACCAATTAAAAAAACAAAAACAAAAGCAAAAAAAGCAACAACAACAAAGAAACCACTAGTTATAAGTTCTTCATCATCGGATGACGATAATGAAGAAACAGATCCAAGTAAAATGGTTTATGATGAAGATAATGCTTGGTAAAATTTCATATTTATGTATATCTGTTAGGCAAAATTAAATAGACTTTAAAACAAAAAAAAAGATTAGAATAAGGAGTTCGCGAGTGTTCTCAATTGAAATCTGACTGAACTTAGGAGGTTGTAGAGTTCACCAATATATTTTCATATCGTCTCTGGTTTCGGAAAAAATCGACGGTTAACCACAACAAATAAAAACCATCAGTACAGACGATTTCTACTTTTTATATTAATTTCTAAATATAAAGGCAAGTTTTATGAATTGCAGCATGTTTTGTTAGACGATATTTCTTTATCTTTCGACTTAGAAAAAACAACAGGATCTTTTTAAGCTTATGCTTTTTTAATAATATTATTTATCTGTCTTCGAATTTAACTTAGTTCATAGATGCTATGTAAATTATGTTTTGTTATGTTCCAACCACAAAAAAAATACTATGCAGAATATATTAGTTTATATATTTTCTTTGACAGAATAATAACTATCTGCTCTCGAAATTTAATACTTCGAATACTCAAAATGTTGATTTTGTTTGTTTGTAAAAATGACTATGATGTCTAGTGAGGAAAGGCAACAAATATGTACAAGATTTTCGTTATGTATAATAAAATTATTTCATAGTTTTGTGTTTAATTAAAAATGAATTTTGGCTAGGAAATGTTTACTTGTTAAAATGTTTTGTTTAGGTTTGAGAGTGATGAAGATGAAAAACAACGTTTAGTTGATGAAGATGAAGATTTTTATGAACCAAAAAAAAAGAAAAAACGTTCATCAGCAAAAGATGATGGTGATGATCAACAATATCTTACACGTCTAAGAGATTTTTATGCCGATCAAAAACCACCTAGTCATACAAATAATAATGAAAATGATGATATTGAAATTGGTAAAGGTTTTTGGATACCATCAAGTATTTGGAATCGATTATTTAAGTAATATTTTTGATTTCTTGTTGTTATTAATTTCTTTATTTGATTTATTATTTATTCAAAGTTATCAACGAGCTGGTGTAAAATGGTTATGGGAATTATATGAACAAAAATGTGGTGGAATTATTGCTGATGAAATGGGTTTAGGAAAAGTAATGATTCAAAAAAAAAGAAAATATTTTATATTTTTCTATTGATTAAATTCTTTAGACTATTCAAATAATTGCTTATCTTGCTGCATTTCATTATAGTCGAGTACGAGATACTCAAAATCGGTAATAGATATTTTTTTTTGTCTTTTGAAAGAAAATTTATATTTTATATTTCTAGTTATCGTGGTCTTGGTCCAGTACTCATTGTATGTCCATCTACATTACTTCATCAATGGGTTCATGAATTTCATGAATGGTGGCCTGAATTTCGTGTTGCTGTATTGCATGAAAGTGGTTCATTTCAAGGAAAGAAAGGCGTAAGAATTTAATCTTATGTATAATAATAATTAAGAGTTTAAACCAAAGGGGGAAAAGCGAAAATGCCGTACTTCCAAACTATGTCATAACTATGCATTAGATCTGTTTAGTTATTTCAAGTCTTCTATCGACCTGTGTTACAGTATATTAGTCGGAGTCTAACTTACGCAAGTCATCCTCACCCTAAAGCCCATATACTTCATTGTCAGATAGACTTATGTAGACTGAACTTCGGCTAATATACCGTAACAAAAGTCGATAGGAGACTTGAAATAGCTAAACAGATCTGATGCACAGTTATGACATAGTCTAGAAATACGGCATTTTCGCTTTTCCCCTCTTGGCTTTATTTCTAAATATATCTAATAAACAAACAAGAGATCGTTAGTATATCATATTATTATGAAAGTTAATTATATTTTTTTTATAGCATCGACTTATTCATAAAATTGGCACAACAGCTGCTGGTATTCTCATAACATCTTATGCTAATATTCTTATTCATTATGATACTCTTGTATCTTATCCATGGCATTATTTTATCTTAGATGAAGGTCATAAAATTCGTAATCCTGATGCTCAAATAACAACAGCTTGTAAATCAGTAAGCATCATTTATTTTTAGTTTCTTATACAAAATCCTTTTTTTTTGTTTTTTGTATAGTTTCGAACACCACATCGATTAATATTATCTGGTTCACCAATGCAAAATAATTTACGTGAATTATGGTCATTATTTGATTTTGTTTTTCCAGGTAAATTAGGTACATTACCAACATTTATGGAATATTTTGCTATACCAATAACACGTGGTGGTTATGCAAATGCAAATCCAATTGAAGTACAAACAGCATATAAATGTGCATGTATATTACGTGATACAATTAAAAAATATCTTATACGACGAATAAAATCAGAACAAAATATTGTTTTACAATTACCAATGAAAAATGAACAAGTACTTTTTTGTCGTTTAACTAAAACTCAAAAATATATTTATAAAGAATATTTAAAATCACAACAATGTAAAGATATTCTTAAAGGTAGTTTACAAGTTTTTGTTGGTTTAATTAATTTACGTAAAATTTGTAATCATCCTGATTTATTTACTGATTGGTCAC